CTGCTCCCTCATGTCTTCCTATCCCATCCTCTTTCTCCTAACTCCTTCTTCCTTCCCCCGATAGTCCCCATTAGCTCAGGAGATCTTGTCCCTTTCCCTTTCTCCAGGGGATATGTATGTCTCTCTTAGGGTCCTCCTTGTTCCCTAGTTTCTCTGGAGGTGTGGATTGTAGTCTGGTAATCCTTTGCTCTATGTCTAATATCCATATATGACTGAGTACATACCGTGTTTGTCTTTCTGTGACTGGGTTACTGATGAGGGAAGTCCTTCTGTGTATATGTTGTCCTACTGGTTGATTAAATAAAGCACTGTTGCCCAATACATAAGCAAGATAGGTGGGACTAGGAGTTGAGGAGGATTCTGGGAAACAGACGCACAGTCAGTCATGGTGTAGAACACGAGAGGAGTAAGAAGTCTGGATCCTTTCTCCCGTAAATGAAGACCACGTGGAAATACTCAGATTAGCAGTTATGGGTTAATAATAAAGTCAGAGCTAGCTGATAAGAAACCAAGCAAACAGTCAACAGCATTATAACTAATATAGTGTCTCGTGTGTTATTTGGGGGCTGAGACGGCTCAGGACCCAAGCGGCTGATAGAAGACTACACGTTCAGGATGATTTCTTCTAGTTCCATTCATTTGCCTTTGAAATTCAAGATTTCAATGATTTTTTTTTCCACTGAGTAGTACTCCATTGTGCAAATGTACCAGATTTTCTTTATTTATTCATCAGTTGAGGGGCATCTAGGTTGCTTCCAGGTTCTGGCTATTACAAATAATGCTGCTATGAACACACTTGAACATACATCCTTGTTGTATGAATGTGCATCCTTTGGGTATATGCCTAAGAGTGGAATTGCTGGATCTTGTAGTAGACTGATTGCCAATTTCCTGAGGAATCTCCATACTGATTTCCAAAGTGGCTATACAAGTTTACACTCCCACCAGCAGTGGAGGAGTGTTCCCCTCTCTTCACATCCTCTCCAGAATAAACCATCATGGTGGTTTTGATTTTAGCCATTCTGACAGAGGTGAGATGGTATCTCAGAGTTGTTTTGATTTGCATTCCCTGATGGTTAAGGATGTTGAGCAATTTCTTAAGTGTCTTTCAGCCATTTTAGACTCCTCTATTAAGTTCTGTACCTCACTTTTTAATTGAATTATTTGGTGTTTTGGTGACTAGCTTCTTGAATTCTTTATATTTTGGAAATCAGCCCTCTGTCAGATGTGTGGTTGCTGAAGATCTTTTCCCATTCTGTGGACTGCCCTTTTGTCTTGTGTCCTTTGCCTTCCAAAAGCTTCTCAGTTTCAGGAGGTCCCATTAATTAACCGTCGATCACAGTGTCTGTTCTACTGGTGTTGTGTTCAGAAAAGGGTCTCCTGTACCAATTCGTTCAAGAGTACCTCCCACGTTCTCTTCTAAGAGGTTCAGTATGGCTGGATTTATTGTTGAGGTCTTTGATCCATTTGGACTTAAGTTTTGGGCATGGCAATAGATAAGGATCTATCTGCAATCGAAGTGTGCCAGCACCATTTGTTGAAGATGCTTTCTTTTTTTCCAATGTATAACTTTAGCTTCTTTGTCAAAAATCAGGTTTTCGTAGGTGAGTGGATTAACATCAGGGCTTTCAATTCGATTCAACTAGTCTACCTATCTGTTTTTGTGCCAATACCAAGCTGTTTTCATTACTATAGCTCTATAGTAGAGTTTGAAGTCAGGGATGGTGATGTCTCTAGAAGTTTCTTTATTATACAGGGTTGTTTTGGCTATCCTGGGTTTTTGGTTTGTTTGGTTGGTTGGTTTTTGGTTGTTGTTGTTTTCATATAAAGTTGAGTATTGTTCGTTCAAGGTCTTCGAAGAACTGTGCTGAGATTTTGATGGGATTGCATTGAATCTGTAGATTGCTTTTGGTAAGATTGCCATTTTTACTATATGTTGATCCTATGTATCCAAGAGCATGGGAGACCTTTCCATTTTCTAGTATCTTCTTTAGTTTCTTTCTTTACAGACTCAAAGTTCTTGTCAGACAGGTCTTTCACTTGTTTGGCTAGAGTTACCCCCAAGGTATTTTATGTTGGTTGTGGCTATTATAAAGGGTTATGTTTCTCTGACTTCTTTCTGAGCCCATTTATTGTCTATATATAGTAGAACTATTGTTGTTGGTTTTTTTTTTTTTTAGTTAATCTTGTATCCTGCCACTTTACAGAGATGTTTATCAGCTGTAGGAAGGACCTTTGTGGAATTTTTCAGGTCACTTATGTGAACTCTCTTATCATCTATAAATAGTGAAAGTTTGACATCTTCCTTTCCAATTTGTATCCCCTTGATCTCTTTTTGTTGTTTTATTGCTGTAGCCAGAACTTCAAGAACAATACTAAAGAGATATGGAAAGAGTAGACAACCTTGTCTTGTTCCTGATTTTAGAGAAATCGCATTGAGTTTCTCTCCATTTAGTTTGATGTTGGCTTGCTGTATATTGCCTTTATCGTGTTTAGGTATGTTCCTGTTATCCCTGATCGCTCCAAGACCTTTATCATGAAGGAGTGTTGATTTCTTTTTTTGTTTGTTTGTTTGTTTTTCGAAACAGGGTTTCTCTGTGCCTTTGGAGGTTGTCCTGGAACTAGCTCTTGTAGTTATCTTTCTTAGTTATGTTTTTGTGTGACTTGGGTACCAAGGTAATTGTAGCCTTAGAAAAAGAGTTTCGCAATAGCCCTTATGCTTCTATTGTGTGGAACATTTAGAAGAGTATTGGTATTAGCTCTTTGAATTTCTGGTAGAATTCTGCACTGAAACCATCTGATCTGGCCCTGAGTTTTTTTTTGGTTAATTAAATATTATTGTAAAGGTTTTTTTTTTTTTTTTTTTTTGGCTTTTTGAGACAGGGTTTCTCTGTGGTTTTGGAGGTTGTCCTGGAGCTAGCTCTTGTAGACCAGGCTGGTCTCGAACTCACAGAGATCTGGCTGCCACTGTCTCTGCCTCCAGAGTGCTGGGATTAAAGGCGTGTACGACTAACACCCAGCAAGGGTTTACTTTTAACTCTAGCTCACTAAAATTTTTTTTAATTAAGATTTTTTTCATACAGTATATTCTGGTCATGCTCCTTCCTCTCCCTAACCCCTCCCAGATATTTCCCACCTCTTTACCCATCCAACTTTGTTCTTCCTCTTGAAAAAAAGGAACAAGAGAAAGATACCAACAAAACACAGAAATGAAAATCAAAACAAATAGGCAAACGACTAATGAGATAAAAAAGTCATGGCAGCTACTTTTATTATTTTGTTGAGACTGTCATACATTTTGATTACATTCACAACCCCCGTTTCTCCCCAATTTGTTCATTCTTTATATAAAATAAAATACACAAACATCTACTATCTGAGGCGTATTATGGTTTTTATAGGACGATATTGGTCTCAGAAAGAAGCAATCATCACCAATGATATGATCGCTGTTAAGTTACCACACACCAGCAAGTAAAACTACACTCATGCTCATACAAGCACCCTAGGTAAACTCAGTTAATAAAGAGAAGGTGCTTAGTGGGATGGGGGGTAAGAGCACAAAATAGAGAGTGATTATGATCACAAAACCTTATATACATGTATAAAATCATCAAAGAATAAACATCCTAAAGGAAAACACATAACAGATCAGCATCCATAAGTCACTTTTTAAAAACTATTCTTAATGAAAATTTTTACTTAAAACAGTACATACTTTCTTCTCAATTCTTCACAAATTTATATCCTCTTTTAGTGTATAATACAATTTTTTCTAAAATTACTACAATGCCTCATAGTATATTTCATTATTGTATTTAATAATGGTCTCACAATATAGCTCCAGCTCGCCCCAAACTTGTTATCTCTTAGCCTCCTCACTGCTGGGATTACAGATGTGCATCACCATGCCTGGCAATATTCATTTTCAATATCTATAAAATATTATATCAATTAAGCTGTCATATTTATTTAATTCACTATTCAATACTGGATATTAAAACATAATGCTATTGTTGAAATCTTAATGCACTTAACCTTTTACATTTTAGGACTCATTGAGATAGTCTTAGAACCTACTTAAAATTCAAGGCACTAGTTATATATTTGATGATTATCAATATATACTGATCACTAAAATGATCTAATTGATTGCTAAAATGATACTACACAATCTAATATCAATTAAACTTGTCTAATAGTTAACTTCCTCCTCCTCTCTGTCTTTAGTCTCAGGTTCCCCTTATCCTTTTCTTCCTCATTTCCTTTCCTCTGACTTCCCATTGGTTTGCTTGAAGCCCACTTTGTACTTGCCCCAGCATAGACTCTACACTTATGTACATATTCCTAAGCCAAAATGATTATGCGGCATGCTTCTAGCGTGTAACACCATCAATAAAAATTATACCAGAGAAAGGTTTAGAATGAACTATTAACTTAAAATAACCTTGATTACTGCTGACTTTCAGATCAAGTTCAAATAAAAAAACCTTCTAGAATTGTCGGGCGTTGGTAGTGCACGCCTTTAATCCCAGCACTTGGGAGGCAAAGGCAGGCAATCTCTGTGAGTTAGAGGCCATCCTGGTCTACAGAGCGAGTTCCAGCACAGCCTCCAAAACAATACAGAGATACCCTGTCTCAAAACAAACAAACAAAAAACCCTTCTAGAATGTTCTCAATTTAATTTCTCTTTACTGTTAAAGAATTTTTACTTTTTAGTAATTACAAAGGAAACTTCATTTCTTCTTTAAATTGTTCACATCTAGGTTTTTCAATGAAAACTAAAACTCAAATATTTAACTGTTGTAGTTTCAGATGAAACATTTGACACCTAATGACAAGGTAAAAAAGTAAATGCTCAGACAAAGAAAACATATTAAGATATTTCGTAACCAGCACAAGCTACAACAGAAAAGTCCAAGAAGGATGGCTTATTACTTCTATGACAAAGCACCCATTATGACATCCCCAAGCTGTGCCCAATTAACTGCTTTACTTACGTAATAGCTGGGTCCACTTGTTTGTAAGCATGGGCAGCACAAGAGCCACAGTATGTGTATCCTGCATGGCTACAAACAAAACAGTTTTTAACTTACTCTCCAGGTTCAATATCAAGGTAAGGAAAGAAATAAAACTTTTAGAAAGACATGTAAAAACTATGATGCATGTAACAGAATTCAGTATATAGATTAAAAAGCAACGTTAATTAGTGATGCTACTTCTAGTAGGCAATAGGAAACACATAATTGTTTCATACTATACTCCAATTATAAACTTCCAAATTATTTTTAGGTGTCAGTTATGAAGCTGCTTAACATGTTTAAAGTCTTGTATTTAATCCCAGCACCAATTTAGGATGAGGAGAAGGGGGATCAAAAGATAGTTTGGTTTTGGGTGGGCAAAGACATTTGGAGATAGTCAAGGCTCACTTTAAGTTGCTAGTTCTTGGTACTCTGTAGTGATATTAGCAGAGTATGAAATATCCTGCAATGATGATCCTCCCCTCTGCCCTTAGCGGTAAAGAAACTGACTTAGCTTCTGTGTATTATGCCTCTCACTTTCTCTCTATGATCTTTCTCTTTTCACCCTCTCGCTTCCACATTCAGTCAATTCTCTTGTCACCTACAGAACAGCTTTGTTCTCTGATCAGTTTTCTTTTTTGAGTCATTCTTGAGACAAGAGTCTAACTCACTTCTTTAGACAGAGGTACAGATGGGCAAGAGGGACTCTAGCTGGCCCAAGATTAGCAAACATGGCTCTGGCAGGCCTTGCCCTTCTCCTCCATAACCTCTGTCCTCCAAAAAACCAGCAGAGTACATTCCTAAAGCTAGTCACCAAGGTCTGTTCCCTCATTTCACCACGTCCTCCTCCAGAGGCTGAGTGATGACCAAGGTCCAGCTATCAAAGTATTGAAGGCCAGCAATCAAAAGCCCTTTTGAGCTACCTTAATTAACATGCCCAATTAAAATTAAACACCTCATCCTAACACCAGGTTTTCTCTTTTCCCTTTATAAACTGCCATGTTCCTATGGGGCACATCTGTCTACTCTCTATCCAGAGGCAATCCTTTGTCTTCCCACTCCCACACCCCAAGATAAACACCCCTCACCCCTCCCTAATTCCATTCCCCTTCTCCATTGTCCTATGTCTCATGTCTCTGCCTCTTATTTCCTGCCCTTTGTCCCTCTGGGGCAAATAAATCTCTTTTGTGCTGAGAACTTGGTCTTGGGGTGTCCTGAGCCAATACCAGTCCCTTTTAGGTACATCACTGGTAGACAGTATACAGCCCATGGGTAAGTGTTTTAACAACTAGCTTTGAAAGAAATGAAAACTGCACATTCATATGCATGTATTTTTTTACAATGTTACTGATATAAAACAGAAGTCTCACAATTTATGAATAATGATAAAAATATGTAATACTCTATTATAAATTACATATAGCCAACTGATTGTATGATCTCTGATATTATTTGCTGAACTCACATAAACAGCTATGACTGCAATAATAAGAATGGAGGACTGGGTATGATGGCACATGCCATGAATCCAAGCACGACAGAGGCAGGCAGATCTCTGGGTTACAGGTTACCCTGGTTACATAGTAAGTTGCAGGTTATCCAGTGAGATGTTGTCTCCAAAAAAAAAAGGAACAAATCTAATAGTCCCACAAGTGGTGATTTAAATAAAAGATGGCAATATATCCTAAGAAATATCTTGTGTCCATTTTCACTATAGCACCATTCACAACCAAAAGAGGTTATGGAATCAGCCTGGGTGTCAGTCAACAGATGAATCTATAAAGAAAGCATAATACACAGATATATTCTACCTTAAAAGAAACAAGTCCCAAGGACTTGGGAGATGGCTCAGTGAGTAAGACTCATGTGTCAAGCTGTAAGAACTTGAACCCTGATCCCAGAACCTGTGCAAACCCAGGACACAATCCCAGGAGTCCAAAGCAAGTTTGGAGGTGGACACAGGAGAATCCCAGGAGCTCCAGAACCAGGTGCCCAAGGATACGCAGCAGCAAAAGAGACGCTATGTTAGTGGACAGTCAAAGCTGCAGCAGGCAGGAATGTGGGTGAGGTAGTCTCTTTGTCAGTGGCTGGCATGGGAGGCCTCCCTCGAGGCTGTCAGAAAGCAAGCTGGTAAGCAGCATTCACGATCTTAACACTGCAGCTCCTGCCTTGAGTTCCTGCCCTGACTTTGCTCAGTAATGGACGAAAGAAACCTTTTCCCCTCCAAGTTGTTTTTGGTCACTGTTTTATTACAGCAATAGAAAAAAACAAAATAAGATACCATCCCACAACATACATGGATTTTTCTAAAACCATAGGACTCATATATGGTAGAAGCATAAGTATGGGGAAATAACAAACGGGTACCACGGGTACCGATGCTTCAGTCAAAGGACTGTGGGATGAATATAGCGACAGTTGAATACTTCACTTAGGAAAGACATTAAATATTACTACTACAGATGTCAAATGTTTGACATGATGGATGGATTGACTGGCGTGGTCATCTCATGCTGCATTCAAATAACATTGCTCTGCATCCCACCCACAAATGCATGAAGGTCAGTTGCTATGAACAATTTTGCTAATTTTGCTGATCAGATAATAGTTTTCCCATATTATAAAAACTTTGCCAGGGACTAGAAATGTGGCTTGGTGGTTAAGAGAGCTTGTTGTTCTTCTAAAGGACTGGAGACTGGCTCCTAGCACCCACAAGTTGGCTCACAACTACCTGTAACTACAGTTACAGAAGATCCAACTCCCTCTTCTGACCTCTGAGAACATGGGTTTGATCCCAGCAACACAACAGGGTTTCTCTATTTAGCCTTGGCTGTCCTGGAACTCACAGAGATCCTCCTGCCTCTGTCTCCTGGGTACTGGAATTAAAGGTGTGTGCCGGCGCCACCAGCCCCAGCAACATGATTTTTTTTAAAAACATGAAATAAATAATAAAGCCTTTAAGAGGCATTAATTAGGATTGTATGAGGTGAAGATCAAGAGATTAAGAAACTTACATGATACAGCTTTTTAAGAGGTGGGAAATGTACGAAGCATTTGGCATATAAAACGCTTTTCAGTAAAATACTTACATCCAAACATTAATCTGGGTTCTTTGTGGGGGGAAGGATGTACATATAGGTGCATTTGAATGTGGAGGTCAAAGGCTGTCTACCTCAGTCACTACCCATTTTTCGTAAAGACGTATTAGTTCAGTTTATTTTATATGTATGTATATGTGTCTATCTGAGTATGTACAGATACTCATGAAGGCCATAAATTGAAGTCAGAGGCAAATATAAGCTGCACAACTAAGGTGCTGAGAACCAGATCCTCTGCAAAAAAAAAAAAAAAAAGCAAGCAGTCCTAACACAGAGCCATCTTTCCAGCCCAACATTTGATTCTTAACTTTTAGTCCATTTTCATCAGTAATAAACAGAAGACCTCTAAAACTCACGGTGCAATAATGGCTCTAGCAGGTCTTTTCGTAGACTGTACTTGTGAAAGCCAACCTTCTAGCTGGGCATTCAGCTGAGGTCCTACAAAAGACACGGGGAAAAAAGAATCAGTAAAGCAATGTATTACAGATAACCATACATATTGCAACATCTTCACTGAACCTCCATAGTACTGAAATAACTTACTGGGCAATAAAATCATCAATCCGAATGTTTAAAGGTTCACTTTATCAAGTCACTAGCAAACCATATGATGGGTCTGAACACTAACAATGTAAAATTTGCTTTTATTCATTTACTTCTTAGAAGTATCTTCTTCATACAGACCAACAATTTACAATTTGAGGTAACATTTAAACAAAATAGAACAGCAAGTAGAATACTCTTAAGTAAGTGAAAAAGTGTAATTAAGTGAGTTTGTTATTTCACCATACAAACCCTGACTTTACTCGATCACTGAGGCAACATCCATGTAGTGGAAAACACCCACACTCAATGATCTACCCCATGCATTCCACTCCCTTACTCCCCTATCAGTAACTAATAACTGCATCACCTCAAAAGCTCAATTTCCAACAACTCTCTTCGCTTCCTGTCTCTCCAGTTCACTACTCAGGAATCCACGGACTTCAACAGATCAAGACTTTCTGCATGTCCTTCACCATCTCTGTTCACTCTTGCCTTGTCCAAGGTGAAACAGCCCATCGCTGTAGTCTCCACTTTCGATGTGGGTATAAATATAAACAATATAAACACAGATTCTCTATCTGCACAGCTGAGGGAAGCTAGGAGACAAGTGCTTGTCACACCAGTGTGAGGAAGGACCTGAGCGCCAACCCCAGAGACCATGGGAGACAGCAGCAGTGCAGAGAGTGAGTGTGCTGTAATCCCAATGCTCCCCCTGCTGCAAGCAGAACTCTCCTTTCTCAGCAAACTGCCCTTGCTTTTCTCAAAAACATATACCTTGCTGCACCCAGAGGCCCATTATGATCTTCTTAAAACACTCTGCTCACAATTGTTTCTAATCTCACCACTAAAATCTAAGCATACCACTGATTAATTTTTCCTTCTACTGAAACCCATTTCTCTATGCCACTCTGCAGCAACTATGACTAGAGATCCTATGTCTTTCTCACTATCTCTCCGTTCAACTTTGAAGTGCTTTTTCCTTTTTCTTATACTCATTTTCTTCAAGGTGTGTGCTGTGCTTGTGCGTGTGTATGTATATACCACATGAATGTTTGGGGCCCACAGAAGTGAAAAGACGGCATGGATCCCCTGAAACTGGAGTTATAGATGGTTGTGAGCCACTATGGAGATGCTGGGAATCAAACCCAGGTCCTCTGCAAGAGCAACAAATGCTTTTAACCTCTGAACTAGCTCTCCAGCCTCTTTTTTGACTTTTGAAACCAGTCTTACATATGCTAGATCTGTATTCTAGATCAGGCAATAGCAACAAAATAATTGAGTTTTCTTGGCACATACAAGTTACTAATACTCAGAGAACAACTACCATCTGTCTTTAAAAGGCAAATCCATTTCAACACCAACCCCACTATACTGCCATTATGCTTGGTTTTTTGAGTTTTGTTTTTTTGTTGTTCTTGTTGTTTTTGTTTGTTTTTTTGTTGTTGTTGTTGTTGTTTGAGACAGAGTTTCTCTGTATTGTTTTGGAGGCTGTCCTGGAACTGGCTTTGTAGACCAGGTGGCCTCAAACTCATAGAGATCCGCCTGCCTCTACCTTCCCGAGTGCTGGGATTAAAGGTGTACGCCACCAACACCTGGCTTTATGCTTCTGTTTTAAAGTATCTTTTGTTAAGAATTTTGGATATCCTAACATTAAGCATAGCAAATTAACCAGACATGGTTGGTTTTCCTTTTACAGAATCCTAACTATTCTTCCAGAAATAGTCCAGAGATAGTCAGTCCACACACCAGAATCACCTGACGTCTTCACTTCAGAAAAATCTGTGGGTGTTGCCAGAGTTAAGTTGTCAGCATGACCTCTGGGGATAGTGCTAAAAATGTTAACACGCTCTCCAGGTGACTTTAACAGACACTGAAATATGAAGCTGTCATCCAACGTTTATTTGCATATGCAATAATGATGTCTGTCATCTAAAATATCTGGACAGTTTATGGTTGAAAGGTTTCACTGTAAATCATAAATTACAGATCTTTAAATTAACAATAAATTAGCACATAATTTTACCTCCAAACTACGTTGGAGTCTGAAGTGACCTACACTAGTTCTCAATATTTACATGTTCACTTTTTCTTTCTTTCTGAGACAGAATCTCACTATATAGCCTTGGCTGTCCTGTTTAAAAAATTAAGTATAAAATAATAGCTAATAGGAGGAAGAGTGCTCCAGGAATAGAGTCCAAGTGTTTGTGAGAACACACCAAGAAAACAAGAATCTTATGGACATCAGTTTCTTCAAACCATGGGATTGATCTTGGAATGTGTTTTTGTGCTCCTCCCAGGTGTCACAGATTGGTGTGAGTTTACTTCAATTACTCATTATTGCTTGTGGTGTCATTCAGTTAAATATTTCAACTGTCCTTTAGATGCCTTTTTTGGGAAAACACATTTTGCCACACACAGCTTTAATTCAGGAGAACTTTACTCAGGTGACTTTGTTTCTTACTCCTCAGAGTACAAACAGTCTGATGCTCTGAATAAAGTTGGCTATTGCGTGAGACTCTAGTCTGCCTCATTTATCGGCCCAATTCTCCCAGGTCCCATGCATCTAGAGTGCTGACAGAAGACTAGCTGTAAACGATGATGTTGTAGACATTATCAATGCTAAGTCTGGTCTAACATGTGTTGCACCCTTCCCCCAAGAGGGTCTGTGGACCACCTTGTGACCAGGAGCTTCTAGCAAAATACCTCTTGTCCCTTCCTCCCAGTATAATCTGAATGCAAATTCCTGTTGTCCGCCCATCCTTTGCCAGTAAGCTGCTGACCTTAGTAGTTTTCCACCATGCCTACTACTGGTATTTAACACTCCGCTCTTGTTACAATAAATGCCATTGTCTTTGTCTTCATTTAAATCCTTAGCCCTTCGCCCGGATCATTGAGAAGTGTTGTAGTCCCACACTGTAACCGAACCGCTAGCTACAAAAATGAAGACTTTGGGACTGGAGAGATGTATCAGTGGGTTAAGAGAACTGGTCGCTCTTCCAGATGACCTGGGTTGGTACCAGCCCAACACCTCTTCCAGTTTCCATGGCACTGCAATCACATGATACACAGGCAAAACATCAAAACACATAATAAAATAAAAAATAAATTTTAGAAAATAAAATAAAGGCCAGGTGTTGGTGGCACACTCCTAACCCAGCACTCGGGAGGCAGGGGCAGGCGCATATTTGTGATTTCGAGGCCAGTCTGATCTACAAAGTGAGTTCCAGGACAGCCAGGACTGTTATATGAAGAAACTCTGTCTCAAAAAACCAAACATCAAAATAAAACAAATGTGACCAGACAAAATAAATTACAGTACATAATACTAGATGGTGTTCTGGTGGTAAAAAGAAAGAATCTTTGGCAGGAAAAGGAATTGAGAATGAATCATAGAGTCATTTAAGGTGAAGGTCAACAGAATGGTTAGTTAAGTTATGAATGGCCAGATGACAGCAGCACAAAGAAACTGAGCACCATAGGATGTGTCTGCAACCCTAGCATCAAGAAGGCCAAAGAGAAGAATTGTGGATTCAAGGCCAGTTTAGAGTACATAGAGCGATCCTGCTTCAGAAAGAGAAGGAGGGAGGGAGGGAGGGAGGGAGGGAGGGAGGGAGGGAGGGAGGGAGGGAGGGAGGGACATGAAAACATATAAGATCGGCACCTAGGCACAGAACCAAGAAGATGTACCAATGAGGGAGGAAAATGATGTAGGAGACTTGGGCAGAAGAAAGTAGGTCCAGAAATCCTTGTTCAAAGCCTTATAAAATTAGCATATAAAAAAGGAAGGAAAAAAAAAGGCAAGTCGGCAAAGAAACTGGAAACCAACCTCAGACAGAGTGTGATAAAACTGCCCAGTGATACAGACGAGAGGCACTCCAGTGTGTCCAAGGTGACCCTGACACACCCTTGAATAGACAGTAGTGAGAGAAGCATGAAGTCATGCACAGAACTACAGGTAACTGCATGCACAGGAAAGTCTGCATGAACTAACAAGCCAAGCCCTGGCGAGGCTAGTACAAACACACCAGCTCTGTACACTGGCGCCCTGGGAGCTTCTGAAATCTATCCTGGGCTTGGCATACTTCCTCTGCCATAGCAGTGTAATATACCTTGATTAACTGTCTTTACTCCAGCTACAAATGTGTGCCTGTGTTCTGTTTTTTGCTCAGGAGCAAGAAATTCAAGAGATAAAGGAAAACACAATACAAGCAAGGCAAAAATAGGAGATCTTCAAAAAGATTAAAAGCATTCAAAACTCTGTAATGAACAGCAACACAGCCAGGATTTGGGGGGGGGTGGTAGGAATCATGGATTTTGTGACTACTTTTAGGGATTAAAAGCTCTGTGTACAATCAGTTACAAATGGGTTGACAGGGAAAAAAACAACAACAAATAAAAACCACTCCAAGAAGGAACTGAAAGCAGTTTTTCAACGTATCTTAAGATATAACTTGCCAGGTATTGGTGGCACACACCTTTAATCCCAGAAGACAAAGGCAAGTGGCTCTCTGTGAGTCTACAGTGTGAGTTCCAGGACAGCCTCAAAAAAACAAAACAAAAGAAAACCTTGATGACTGCAACACTTCAGGTAGGACAGATTAGCCTTATGAACATAACCTTGGGAATTAGCAACCACATTTTCATACCCCACGATGAAGAAAGATATCTATCTCTAGAATGTGAAAACTAACATTCAGAGATGTAATGTTTCTAACTAAATCTAAAATTGCATTTTTTTATACCAACAAGTTTAGTACTTCTGTGGCTAAAAGTGAAGTCTAGGGCTAGAGAAATGGTTCAGCTGTTAAGAGGACCTGTTGGTCCCTCAGAACACCTGAGTTCCACACAGTGTTTGACAAACATCCATAACTCCAGTTCCATGGGATCTTATG